GTCTGGAGGAAGGAGAAGGGTTGGCTTTACAGTGGTATTCTCTCTGTTTCTGCTACACTGTGCTGGGTAGCAGGCTTCTCTGTCTGATGCAGAAATAGATTTTCTTACAGGAGACAAGGAAAAGAAAGTACCCATAACTCATGTTTGAGGCTTCTAAATAAGAGAGATAATTGAGCAGTAAGTTTCTAAGTGCATATACATATAAGCTAAAGTCAGCAAATTAAAGATTGAAACTTAGAGTATGGCTATCTTTTCCTCATTAATTTATTATTAATTTGTGGTTTGATGTTGCCAAATAAATGCAAACAATATACATAAGAAGAAACCAAAACCATAAAGGGCTTGAAGAATATGCCCTACAAGAAGCGACTGAAGGAACTGGTTCTGTTTAGTGTGGGGAGGAGGAGGCTGAGGGGAGACCTTATTGCTCTCTTTCAATATCTGAAAAGTGATTGCAGCGAGAGCAGGGTTGGTCTCTTCTCACTGGTGATAGGTGACAGGACGAGGGGAAATGGCTTCAAGTTGTGTCAAGGGAGGTTTAGGTTGGATATCAGGGAAAACTTCTTTACTGAAAAGGTTGTTGAGCCCTGGGATAGGCTCCCCAGGGAGGTGGTTGAGTTTTTAAACACATCCCTGAATGTGTTTAAAACCATTTGGATGCGGTGTTCAGGGATGTGATTTAGCAGAGGGTTGTTAGTTAGGGTAGTACAGTTAGGGTGTGGTTGGACTTGATGATCTTTTCCAACTTGAACAATTCTATCTTTCTATGATTCTATGATGAATACTATTAATTTTTGATGGAATGATCCTGAAGGAAGTCCCAACCAAAATTTTGGCTGAAGCACTCTAGGACCTTCCCCATGTATCGTTAACTTGTTCATAATTACGTTTGAACCTCTGTTAAACCATATTTTCTATGATTTAACTATCATTGTTCTCCCTACAAAACACTCCTTTTGTTTTCCTCTGCAAAGTAAAGTAAATAGGATGTGCAAATCTACAGTGAGATGTGTCAGATCACAGATATTAGTCTAAGCATAAATTTTCTATTAGATTCAATTTACTGCTAGTGCAATAAAACTGTCATCAGATCAAATTATATTTTATATGCATCATCCATAACACAATGCCATTAAACTGGAAGTATATAATTTTTCCTTTGTTCTTGTACTCATGAGTTATGCAAACTATCAAGTAATGCACATCATCATGCTTCTGCTTGCATTTTTTTCAGTGGATGAATAATGATTTAGTCAGGGTACTTGGGGGCATCTAATTAGTTTCTGATTAGGAGGCTGTTCTGTAGAATGAAAAATAGTACACTTTACTGCGGTAAGGATCTGAAATCTTGTTGTGAAAATCTGCACAAAGAAATGTTGGGGAAAAGCCAGAAATCTAACTCTCCAAAGAGACAAAAAAAAACCCCAAAGAACAAATCAACAACAACAAAAAAAACACCATCAGGAATAAAAAATGTACAGCAGGTCTGAAAAGATATCTAAGCTTTTGTGGATAGGTGAGCTACCTAGAATTTATCTCTGCTGGAGCCCTCTGTTCTTCATTTCTCATTATCTGTTGTGTTACATTAGACATGCATTGAGTGATGTGACTGACATCCTCCACAATTAGCTCTCACATATAATTAGATGCAATGCTGACAAGGGCTCTGTGGCTTGCTATGATTTCACAAAAGATCTTTCTGTTTTTTTGTTTTTTTTTTTTTTGACACATTAAATCTCTTGCATCTTGTTCTGGGGTCAAAATAACTTTCAGCCACTAAAATATTACTTGTGTATCATCAGCTTCACCTCTTGGGTTAAATTGTTTTTTATGTATCCAGGATCTCACAGAGAATACTCTCTGGAAGTATAAAAAATACTGAGGATGTGCCCTTGCAAAGGTGCCTGGGTCAATTGCCCTGTCCTGAAAGCTTAATGTTCAATGCTTACTACCAGTTAAATTTAATGATGACTTATTTTCCTGATGGGAGAATAATTTGAGTCATATTGTCCTCTAGTGGCTCATACAGATAACTGCCCTGCTGACAGAATCCTTTGCCTCGTGTTTTTGCATCCTCTGACTATGTCTTCATAGAAGTTCTTTCAGAAGAGGATTGGCACAGTGGTTAAATTGGCACCTTAATGACATTGTCTATAACTGTGAGTTGTCTGTTTGAGAAACATATATTTAAGATGATTCAAAATAACGAAGGACACTTGTGAGAAGACAGTATACTGAACCAGAGTATTTGCTGGAAATGAATAGATGCTACTTATTGCCAGTAACAAAGTATTGCCTCAGCATGAAATTTGGTGTACAGATGGAAGAAGAGCTCACTTCCACAAAACGCGCACAGATTTCCTATGGATAAAGCAGAGCAGCACTCCTGCATTTCCTGGACTGCACACTTGTAAATCGTGACAACGGCTTTTGCACTGCAATGCCAAAGCATCACCTTTCTTACAAAGTGGTGAAAGAGTCATAGAATCACTGAAGTTGGAGAAGACCAGTAAGATCACCTAGTCCGACCATCAGCCTATCCCCACCATGCCCACTGACTGTCCCCTAATTAAACCTTGTCCCTCAAAGCATCCGAGCACTTCATAGTTGGGCATCTGCTGGTGCGATGCAGGCATTTGCAAACAGGAAAAAGGATCCTGTGACAGGGAGAATAATGCTATGGTGTTTTCCATGACAAAATGCACACCTTCCATTAGAGAATCTGTCCTGGTTCTTGTTTGACCGAATACTGAGTTACTAAGAGCAACAAAAAATGGAGGAGGCTCTGTAGAGATAGCTTCTATGTATATAAAAGGAGCAGAAGTGCTGTAAGAATTTCATATTTCCTACTTCAGAGATGAAGTAGGAGAGGAAACTTAAAATGACAAAGAAATATGGTTTTGGCTGCTGTTTGCAAAAAAGGAAAGACAAAATGAGTATCTGGATTTCTGGATTTTAGAGTTACCTTCAGAGGCGTTTTGAAAATGATGTGCCATGTAATATGTACCCAAAGTAATATCAGGATTCAGTAAAGTCTTCAGTTTGTGTCCTCCAACTCTGACTGCCTTTTCTCTTCCCCCCTGTTGAACAATCCATTCCTTTTGACCTCCAACACTGATGGCAGACACTGGGTGAGCTGCAGAGTAGCTTAATTCTGTTTGGCAGAGCAGAGCTGTGCAGTCAGTGGTGCCCACCAATTTAGTGTTCAGTGCCCAAATCTGACTTGCTCATATCCTCACACCTAACAAGCACAGATAAATGCTGTCACTGAAGATGTGCCAGCAGAAACAGCATGTATGACGGCAGCTCTATGGTGTAAAATGCCTTCATCTTGTGAAATCATCTGTGGTGCCATTTTTAGAGTTCACTCACAGGTTTGCTAAGTAGTGATGGATGCAAGAATATTTGCAGAGAGTTACTTTTATCTGATGCTCTGTGACTTCTCTGCTACTGGAGAGCCTGTAAACCAAAAGCACGCTTCCAGTCAAGATTTCACAGTGCATATTTGTTCTGTATCTGTGGAACAGGAGCGATTCTTTATTTTTTCTTTAACAAAAAAGTTTAATTTTAAGCAGTTTTTGTTTGTCATCTTCTCAACTCTTGCATCAACTTTTTTTCTTCGTGCATGGTGGTGTTATCTTCCAGTGCTTAATTACTGTTTATTTACTGGTGTTTATCCCCAGTTCAGACTTTGTGGGTTTATCTTTACACACTTGAGGGAGAGCTGTATGGCTGAATCTACTTACAGCTCATCGACTATGACTCCTGCTGTAATGACTTCTTAAATGTTCTGCATTTTCAGGTAGACAGAAGTCCAGATGTGTTGCCCTTCCTACACACAGACACCTTCCAGAGAAACCTGTTATGCTTCCCACGTGCAAGTTTTCTGGCACCTTGGCAGAGAGAAGGCTCTGCCCCATCATTAAGGTACCAGCAGTGCTTCCCTCCAGCAGTGCTGTGTTGCTGCTGGAGGGAAGACAAAGCTGGGACCATTTACTCCTGTTCCTATTATTCAGAAGCAACCAGCTTCCCTGCACAGCAGAGGGCCAGTCTGTTTCTGTGGCTGTGTTAACTCCACTATGCCATAGTGCATTTTCATCAGAGTAATGTCAACAGAGTCAGAGGCTTTCCAGAACAGCCACCTGACCTTTGATGTGAAAGACCTGGAATCTGTTGGAAGTGATTTTTTGTGCAACCAATCCTTTGTGCCCAGAGAAGCTGTGGGTGCCCCATCCCTGGGGATGCTCAAGTCCAGGTTGGATGGGGTCCTGAGCAGCCTGAGCTGCCTGAGCTGCTGGGTGACAGCCCTGCCCATGACAGGGGTTTGGACTTGGATGATGGTTAAGATCCCTTCCAACCCAAGCCATTCTGTGATTCTGTCATTCTTTGATTCTCTCTCTGTCCAGGAATTGCATTTGCTAATAGGAAAATTCAAAATGGTGACACTGTGTGTTCCAGACACCTTGCAATCCTGCCCCATGCAGCAAGACTTGGGTTGTTTTTGGGGCAGTGCTCTGCAGCCAGCTGCATGCCAGGTCCCCCCTGTGCTTCTGACTAGTGCCTGCAGATACAAGTGTGCACATGGGTCTTGCTCAGTAGCAGCTGTCTTTGCAGAATAGATGCCGTTATTTACTGCTTTGCTGTATGAATGTAGAGAGTTTCTTTTGGTGGAAATCGGATGGTAATTTTATTTAGATTCAACAGAGTCTCTGAGCAATGAAACTAATGAGATGATAAAGCCTTGCCAGGCTTACCATTTCAATAAACATCTAATCTGGAAAATGTTTTAATCAAGCTTCCTTATCAGATGTTCTCATTACTGTGCTGCCAGTGCTCGCCTGAAAGTTTGGTTTTACCCCAGATCAATTACAGATTTGATTTGCACATTGAAATCCTTTCTATTTGAGGTTTACTTTCTTGTTTGACTTTTTCTGAAAGCAGCTTCAGTCATTAAAAGGGCTGTGCACCAATGGTAATGCTCTTGCATTTTCTCTTGCCAGAATAATGAAATGGTGGAACTGCAGAGGATACGAATGAAGGATGAAATTCGAGAGTACAAGTTTCGAGAGGCAAGGCTCCTGCAGGACTACACTGAACTGGAAGAAGAAAATATCACTCTGCAGAAGCTGGTATCCACACTGAAACAGAACCAAGTAAGCATTGGGAGATACTAGGTGCTGTGCTGGAAAAGAGACCATTTTCTCAGGTTTCCATAATGTGATCCAGCAAAGCATTTTGATAGAGGTTTCTTTGTGTGGCGGTTTGTTGTTATTCTTTGGTTAGATTTTTGCTTGACACTTATTCATTCTGCAGCAGTGCTACAGGCCATTTTTGACATATGGGGAGGCCCTTTCCTCATTTTTAGGAAAACTCTGAGGGACTATTTCTGTGCAGAACTTTGTAACAGGGGGATCATTGTTACTGCAGCCAAGGCTGCATCTCTTCCCTTCCTGTGTTTCCTGCCATCTCTCTCTGCACACTGACCTCTATGCCCAGCAGAAGAGATAGGTCAGCCCTCCATTTCCTCTCACTTTGTTTCCCTTGCTCTGCTTCCTCTTCTGAAGTGGAGAAAGGAGGACATTGTTTACTCCATTTTTTTTTCATTTTTTTCATTTTTTTTTTCCTGGGTTTTCCATTACCACTGTTCCTCTCTGCTCAGCAATGCTAACCAACAAGTTTGACAAGCTCCAAAAATAGGCAAAGGGATGTCAGGTACTCCTAGTTTGTCTTTCATGTTTTCCCTGTGGCAGTGAGGTGCAGCTGACAGCAAAGCAGTGTGCTGTGTTACTTGCTGCAGTGCAGAGTGTGCCCCCAGGAACCACCATAAATCACAGCCCCATTAAGTCAAGATGCAAAAAGCAGCTGGATCTGCCCTCTCTCCCTTACAAAGCACGGCTTCCTTTGCTGCTGGGTATAAACACTGCTGAGGAAGTCATCACAAACACAGTTGTCTTTTAAACTGAACAGAAGAAATTTGTTCTCATGTCACAAAACCGAGCTTGCCATGATAAATAAATAAGTTGGAGGATGAAAGTTTCTTTTAGACACTTCCGAGACCAACATAACATCACATGCAGGAAGAGAATTTCCCCAACTTCCATCAAATTGCAGTAGCACTGCTCTGCAGCCCCTGTGTTACATCCCAGCCTAGCAAACAGTTCCATTAGGGCTTTTAACAAATAGCCAAGGCTGCCAGTTTCTTACTGCTTGTTAGCTTACTTATTCCTGCAGGAATATGCAGGAATACGCAGCACTATTTCATCTATCTTTGCTATTCTACCCTGCTAGCACAAATGCAATTGAAACGTTTAGAACAATGGAGCAGAGCCGCAGGGAATGCACAGGTAATGCAAGTGAGTATGGTGTTCCCTTATTTATGACCCAGGCTTTCATGCTCCTAGCACTGAATTTCTATCAGCTCATCTTTGTGTCAGTTGTTTACCAAGCCAGCAAATTCCCTCATGGAGGCATCTATTTTTTCCTTACCAAGCTCATAGGAGGCATTTTTGCAGGAAAAAAAAATAAAAACCACTTTACAGGCCATGCTAGTTTCTGCCAGAATAAAATCTGTTTGCCAGTGTTTGTATTTGTCATAATACTTCATTCTTAATGGAGTCAAATGCCGGAATATGGGGAGAAAAAAAAGCACTTTTGCATTGAGAACGACTTAAAAAATCAGTCATTTTGTATCACAAACCCATGCACTTGTGATACCAGAACCAATTCTGACCTACAGGGTAAAATATCAAGAGCAATTTTGTACTATACTACTGCTGTTTACAAAATGATATGTTCCAAGTCATGTAGAGAAATTGTCATAATCTCCTTGTTGGTTTGTTTTCTGGGAGGGGTTGTTTGTTTATTTTTTTGTTTGGTAGCTTTTGTAGGAAAGCATCCATGAATTGGTTACTGTATAGACCTCCAGTTTTTCATGCCCTTAAATTATAAACATATCTATTTGATTGAATGTCACAATTTTTTAGATGGCCCTTTCCCTCCACTCGAATACACCAGGAAATGCAAATTTCAAAATACCCAGATTTCCCTTTTCTACTTAGCATCTCCCAACATAATTTGTGAACTCCATTTGTTGTCTGAATCTTTTTCATTCTCTTTGTTTGAAGATTGGTGCTTTGTGTTTTAAGCTTTCCTTCCCAAAGGCTTCTAGCTGTAAAACTTTTGACAGGTTGGCAAACGTTCCACTCCAAAAGAAATGGTTGATGTTTCTGTTTTCACCAGAACCTTAATATAGTTTGAAAATAAAAATATAAATGAGAAGCATTCTAGACAATGCCTTAAAATTGCACATAGTAATACATGTTAATGCATTATATTAGAAATATGTCAACTGAAAAAAGATTTATTTATTTTTTAATAGAAGCATGAAAGTTCAATATTTCTTCTTTCATCAAGCCATTACATTATTTCACCCAATAGGGGGAATTTTGGGCATTTAGAAATTAAAAAGTGGATCTTAGAGTTTAAAGGGATTTTGCTGTTTGCTGTTTAATTCTTAAAACGCAATACCTCTTGAATAAAGGAGAATCTCATTTAACACAAAGAAGAGAGCTGAGAATATCCTGCAGTTTCTGTCTTTTCCTTCAATATTTTTCAACACTAGTAAGACACCCAGACACTTTAGAATATCCATGCCTGAGTGACTTTACATCTGGTAAATATTTAGATAAGAAGTATTCTGCAGAACACTTGCCATTAATAAATCAGATTACATTAACCTGAGATCTATACATACCATGATATACCAATGTTGCTTTTGGTAATTCGTAATAAAAACACATCTGCATGAAGTATGAGGGCTGCTCTGAAGGTAATGCCACATATTTTATTATGTTGGCCCATGATTTCAGGTGGTTGTTGTTGGAATAGCAGTAGAGATTGAACCTTACCAACAATATTCCGTTACATTTTGTTGCTGTGTGACAGATGGCAGCAGAGGGGCAGTCTGGCAGAATGGCATCTGACATGGAAGTGCATATGAAGCAAAAGTGTGCCACTGTATTCCTCCATGAGGAAAAAATGGCACTCACTGATATTCATCAATGCTTGCTGAATGTTTATGAACACCAAACAAGGGATGTGAGCACAGTGAAGGGATGGGTGGTGAGTTTCAGCAGTGGTGACAATGAAGTGAAAGATAAGCAGTGTTCTGGGTGGCTGTGCAGATATTTATGAGCTCAGTACGCAGACTCTTGTTCATTTCTGGCAGAAAAATGCACAGCTAACGGTGATGTCTGTGATGAAGGATAGTGTTTTGGAGCTGAGAATGTACTCTATCAAGTAGTGTTACTGTGCTCTTTGTATCCATTTTACTTTCCATGGAAATAAATAGGAGGCAGTACTTTTGGACCTACTTAAGTACATTGTTCATAGTCATAAGTTACTTGGAAAAAAGTACAATGTTCCTTGATTCTCCCCATGTTGAAAAAATGGGTGGTGGAATCTTCGACAGTGAGAGCTCCACATACATTTTCTATGGAGACAATTCTTTGCAGCTGCAGGCAATATGTGGTATTTCATGTTGCATTTCCTGTAGCACTTATTTCAATAGGGCTGATAAATGGCAGGTTTTCATGACTCAAGTTTTAGTATTATGAATGTTCTTTGTCTTGTCTAATTCAGGTTGAATACGAAGGCTTAAAGCATGAGATTAAACGATTTGAGGAGGAGACAGTATTACTTAATAGTCAGCTAGAAGATGCCATCCGGCTGAAGGAGATTGCTGAGCATCAGCTGGAGGAAGCTCTGGAAACTTTAAAAAATGAAAGGGAGCAAAAGAACAATCTGAGAAAGGAACTCTCCCAGTACATCAACCTCAATGATAGTATGTATAATAATCATATTAATATATCAGTAGATGGATTAAAGTTTGCAGAAGATACAAGTGAGCCCAACAATGATGACAAAATGAATGGACATATCCATGGGTCTCTTGTGAAACTTAACGGTGACTACCGAACTCCCACGAGTAGGAAAGGAGAATCTCTGCACCCCGTCTCTGATCTCTTCAGTGAGCTCAACATATCAGAAATACAGAAACTGAAGCAGCAACTCATGCAGGTAAGAGTTTCATTTAATGTCATAAAGCTTTTGGGCACACTTCATATGGACCCTGGTTCCAGCTTTTGCAATGACCTCAACTTCTCTCAGTGATGTTCTAGACTATGTCTCAGACTTTTTGTTCCATATTCAGGTTTTGCTAAAGATAACCCAAAAAGACATTCCTGTCTGCACAGAGTTGGTATAAGCTGAGCTGATGTTTAAGGGGAAGAGGAGGAAGTAATTTAGTTATTGTAGTTGCAGATAGTTGGATTCTCTTCTGTTTAATAAGCGGAGATGTCTCTGAGGTTGCAAGTGGAATCAAGTACTCTTCAGAATGACAAAGCTTTCTAGAAAAAGAACACTGAAATACAGACAGACTTGCCAATAAATGCAGTTTGAGCAAGATTTGACCATCAAGAGAGAACAAAAGGAGTGGAGCATTTCTTTTAATACCTAGCATTAGAATAATAGAATATCCCAATTTGGAAGGGACCCACAAGGATCATCAAAGTCAGCTCCTTGACCCACACGGCACCACCAAAGCATCTGCACAGCATCCAAACCCTATGTTTGACAGTGCTGTCCAAATACTCCTTGAACTCTGGCACTCAGGGCCATGCCCACTGCCCTGGGCAGCCCGTTCCATGCCCACCACCCTCTGGTTCAGACCCTGTCCCTAAGCCCCAGCTGCCAATCCCCTGGGCCCTGTTGCTGTCACACAGAGCAGAGCTCAGTGCTGCCCCTCCGCTCCCGGTGAGGAGCTGCATCTGCCATCAGGCCTCCCCTCAGCTCCTCTGCTCCGTGCTGAACAAACCCAGGGCCCTCAGCTGCTCCTCACACACTCTATCTTGCAGATGCTTCACCACCTAGGCAGCCCTCCTTTGGGCACACTCTCAGAGTTTTATGTCCTTTTTTACTGTGTCACCCAAACCTGCACCCAGTGCTCAAGGTGAAGCTGCACAGTGCAGAGGAGAGCAGGACAACCCCTTCCCTCGCCCGGTGTCAGTGCTGTTCCTGAGACATCCTAGGGCATAGTTTGGCCCTTTGGGCTGCCAGGGCACACTGCTGACGCAGATGCAACTCGCCATCAGCCATAACCCCCAAAACCCCTTTCCACAGGGCTACTATCCAGCATCTCATTCCCAAGTCGGTACATAGATCCCGGATTGCCCCTTCCCAGATGCAGAATCCTACACTTGCTCTTGCTAAATTTGTTGTGCTCTCCAGTTCAGCCCAGACATATCCAGAACAGGAGTTTGTGGAGTGAGCCAGATAAAAACTCAAGTTGACATCCCAGTGCTGACTTCATCTTAGACAGAATACAGTGCAATGCAGTGAGGGGGTCCCTCTGCCTGAGCTGTGAAACATCAGTTCTGCCAGTAGAGCTTTGAAAGGGTTTGGCACCTTCAGGGAAACATCCAGTGCTTTCTAGCTGGGGACTGTCAAAAGTACCCCTTCTAGAGTGATGCCTACTTAAAATACAAGAGACTATTTGGAGGTAAAGGTGAAGAAGCCCAGTTTGCAGCTCTTGCTGAAGAACAATAAATCCCTACACAGGCTGCCCTATATTTGTTGAAGCATTAATTGTTTTATTTACTTCATTGCCAAACACAGCATGGGAAGTTTTGATCTGAGCTTTGACATGGGAAATGTGTATGATATCTATTGCTTTGTGCAGATAGCTTTGATGCAGAAAGTTCATAATTTAACTAGAAAAGCTTGAAATTAGGAACTTCACTCCTGTGAAAAATTCTGGGGAGAACTATTGCAGTATTACAATAGAACTTGTATGTTTATTTTGGTTATATATTCATTTGAATGAAGATTCATGTGTATGTATACATTTATGCATATATTTTATGCACATGTTACAGGCATCTTTTGATTTCATTCAGAAATACAGTGCTAAGAAATACACAACTTCAGAAAAAAATCTTTGAAATATTCACATTTTAATATGTATCTCAATTATTTTCAAGCATAATTTACAATTAAGTAAATGCAAAATAAATACTTAACAAAAGATGTTTGAAAATGGAAAAAACATGACTTTTTGGCTGTATTTTGTCTTGATTTATTGAATATTGAGCATGATGAATCAGCAAACTTCTACTTGAAAGTTACTGCAAATGTTTTTGTCGCTTCTGATTTTAACATTGCTTATTTTTTGTACGCTTCTTAAACAAACAGTCAGCTTTCTGATGCTCCCCAGCCAGAAACTGTCCTAGGACCCTAGAAGGAGCCTAGAAAATAAACATAACCATTTTTTGGTGTCAGTGGCTTTCTTGAGCCTGAGCAAACTTACATAAGTTGCCTTCAACATCATTCAGCATTGTAGGGATGTTAAAAGGATTGAAAAAGGGAGACAGGCCTAGCAGGACACTTTTATTTAGATACTGGGACAGCTTGCTGCAAGCTGCTGACGTTTTCTCTTTTTAAAGCAATCATCTTCTCTGTTAGGTTGTCTCAACTCATTTTGAGTCACATAAATTAACTGTGTAAAATTCCTCCAAAATTTTTCTCCACAGTAAATGGGAGATTTAATTGGGTTCAAGCTGACAAAAGGTAATTCTTTAACAAAATTGTTTGGTTTTTTTTCCTCCTTAGCAATGTCTTTGCCATGTGGCATTCAGACAGTTAAATCTCAACATTTGGCATATGCTCCTCTCATTTACTCAAAGAAGATGTATTATGATAGAGCTGCTGAACATGACCCTCTCTTGGGAAGTATGCTTATGTGATTAGGACAGTGGGCTTGTTTTCTGAGAGAATGAAACTTCAGATTTCCCTTTTGTTACCTGTGTTTGGCAAGTTTTTCACTCTGCAATCTCAAAAAGAAACATGTACCAGAAGATCTAGCATGATAGGCAAAGTTCCTTTTGCAACTTTGGGATGCTAGCACTATGTGTTTTGTATTGGTTCCTAGAAGAGGTGAGAGATAAATAACAATGATAAAATTGGCTTTCATGACTGCAGACTATCAAACAGATTGCAAGGAAGTCTCATCCAGCTGAGATCTTTGAAAGGAAGAGTGCATTTCAAAATAGGTGCAACTGCTTTTGAATTGCTTTTATTTCCATTTTAAGATGATGGTATGGATAATTTCTGCAGCTACTAATTTTGTCAAAAACAAATGAACAGACTGAAACATGGTAGTCTATTCCCCAAAATTTGCTCTGTGTGGAAATAAAAATACGTTGCAAACAAGAAACACAATTTCTGTCCCTAAGAACAGCAGAGGTCTTACTATTCAGAAGGAGTACTCTAAGTGCAGTTGGAGCTTTGTTCTTTTCTCCTTGGAAGTAGGAGCACGTATTTTTTGTCAAACAGAAGTGGATTAGCTTCATCCATAATTACTGGACTAGGATGAATAAAATTCAGTATGTCTGTGTATTTCATTTTACCTACTGTCCAAGCTGGCAGGTGGGTTTTAAATTTGTGTGTTTTCTCTGGAAACAATCCTTTCTATTTGAAAGACGTATTTGTTTCCAGAAGCCATTTATGTTCAGCAGAAGAATGACCATAAAAATATCTACTATCTCAGATACAGTTTTTCTTCATGATGGCTGAGATCAATAATCCATCAGTATCGGTTCTGTCTGATGAAATTAGGCAGACACTCAACAGAGTGCCTCTTTAACACCACGTTGCTTAATGGAAGGCCTGCTCTTTGGTAATGCATTTTAAAGACAGATGGGGGCAGCAAGTTGTATTGATGATGTACTCATTGCCCTCAGCTGTCCTCCTCTGGGCTACAGCACAGACTATGCAGTGCCTATGTAGAGCTCCCTTTATCTAAAGACACTGATATTTTTTGGATCATAAAATAATGATGAGCTTTCACCCTGTTTTTTTTTCCTTCTTGAGTCATCAGTCACCTGTGCATAAAAAAATGAGGCCAACTTTGAGATGTTTTCAACTTGGCTTCTATTTTTGTCCTTACAATTTTTACCTGCAATCCATTGCGGGTAGTAATTGAAACCATGTTTTGAAAGTCTGTCTGTAAAACCAAGGGATCATCATAAATCTTAGTGCTTTGGTATTTTTGAGCAGCAGCCACTGTTCGAAAGCCTTGTTATGAGATAATAGGAGTCTGAACCACTGCTTGGAACATTTTGTGAGATGGCATTAATATCCTCAGAGTCTCTAAAAACCTTTTCTTTTCCATCACTGAGTTTCACAGTGGCTCTTTTGACTCTTCCAAATGCTGCCTGGAGGGATGCTGACAGAGAAGGCAGTGCTTTTTGAAGGACCCTTCAGAAGGGACAGTGTTGAGTTCTCTGAATTAGTAATTCCGCTGCTCACAATGTGGCTGAAGTGTGGAACACAACATTTTGTCTGCAAAAATGTAAACACTGGGCTGAAATACCACAGCAGTGAGAGAAAAAGAGCAATCAGCCTAATAGGCTCTGGATCCTGCTGCAAAAGCCATGAGAGCAAGAAGCATTCTATGTTATCTGCTGCCCAGTTCACAGCTCAGAAAAGGACAAAGGCTGATTAAAAAAAAAAAGAAGTTGGAGTACTACACTAAAATTTAAGAATGAGATTCATTCACAGGTATCATCATAACAGTGAATATCTGAGCAAATAAAACATCAAGTTTTTCTTGTTTGCTTGTTTTAAGATGCCGTGTATTAAAACTTCAAAAGAGTCCTCCAGGACCTCTTCTTCTTTTTAACTCCATATTTCTCTGTCAATATTCAGAAAGGAACTTACTAGGTCAGAATCAGTGGATTGTTAGTTACATTGTAAATCCCATTTTCTTCTGCACTGTCTTTAAAAGAGTGGATTTTGTTTACAAGGGACTGCTGGGAATGGGGATTCCTGGAAGATGCATGTGCTCAGGTGCCTGGTCTGTGTTACACTTGCACATGGTGCAAGTTAATTAATCTAATTGTGCAAATGTACACAGATATTTGTTTACTGTATTTGCATTCAGATATCATGCCCTCCTTCATGAAATTTTCAAAGATATAGATAAAAATCATGAAGGATGGTAAAGCTATTCATGGAAAATATAAACGTGTCAGTAAAATGTATCAGTGTAACATGTTATAAGTGGCAACGATGCAGTTATGCCTATTAAATTTCACAGAACATGTGTGTTGATCACTCCAGTATCATTACTCTAGCTGACTACCCTTAGTGCTTGGGCACTAATTCTTCAGTGAGCAATGTGTAAAATTGTGACCTAGCAAAGCTGCAAATGGTAGCACACTTCATTTTATGTTTTAGGGGCATACACTTAATTTTATGGTTTCTGGAACCGCTCAAGATGTACATGTAGAATGTGGGAGTGGAAGTGGTGAATGGCTGCTTGGTGTTGAGCAGAAGAGCGCGGGTAGGATGAGATGCTGGGTGTTTTACTTTGACTCTGTTGCAGGTTGAAAGAGAAAAGGCCATTCTCCTGGCCAACCTGCAGGAATCTCAGACGCAGTTGGAGCACACCAAAGGAGCCCTGACCGAGCAACATGAGCGAGTCCACAGGCTCACGGAGCACGTCAACGCCATGAGGGGCCTGCAGAGCAACAAGGAGCTGAAAGCAGAGCATGACTGTGAGAAGGGGCGAGACCCCAGCGAGGAAGCACACGACTATGAAGTGGACATCAATGGTTTGGAGATCCTAGAATGTAAATATAAAGTAGCTGTTACGGAAGTGATAGACCTTAAAGCAGAAATCAAAGCCTTAAAGGAGAAATATAATAATTATGTGGAAAACTACACTGAAGAAAAGGCCAAGTATGAGAGCAGAATCCAGACTTACGATGAACAGGTGACAAGCCTAGAGAAATCAACCAAGGAAAGCCAGGAAAAGATGGTCCATATGGAAAAGGAGTTGCAAAGGATGACAAGCATAGCGAATGAAAACCACAATACCCTCAACACCGCCCAGGACGAGCTGGTGACGTTCAGCGAGGAGCTGGCTCAGCTCTACCATCACGTCTGCCTGTGCAACAACGAGACACCTAACAGGGTCATGTTGGACTATTACAGGCAGAGCAGAGTTACCCGCAGTGGCAGCCTGAAAGGCCCAGATGACCCACGGGGTCTCCTTTCCCCTCGGCTTGCCAGAAGGGGAATGGCATCGCCGGTAGAAGCCAGGACTCCGACCGAGCAGGTGACAAAAGAGGCCCCAGAGCCTGGCAAGGAGCAGAGCCCAACGAAAACACCTACAATTTCCCCTGTCATCACTGCCCCTCCTTCCTCCCCAGTCTCCGACAGCAGTGACATTCGCAAAGAGCCGATGAACATCTACAACCTCAACGCCATAATAAGGGACCAAATCAAGCATTTGCAGAAAGCTGTAGATCGGTCGCTGCAGCTGTCGCGCCAACGTGCTGCAGCCCGGGAGCTGGCGCCCATGATTGATAAAGACAAGGAGGCCTTAATGGAAGAGATTCTGAAACTGAAATCCCTCCTGAGTACAAAGCGGGAGCAGATAGCAACCCTGAGAGCAGTGCTGAAAGCCAACAAGCAGGTAAGGTGCCAATAAAGCAGGAGGTCGGGAGTGTCTGTTATTTATACAGGTCGCTTGGCAAGCCTTCCCAAGAGGTTTTTTTAGTGGAGAGGTTTCACTCACAGGTTACTGAGCCTTTCACTCCATCACAGTGAGGGAAGGCCTTTCTGCCTTGTCACCCGTAAGCTTTTCAGCTCTGTGTTTTCTTGCACCCGTTCTTGTTCTCTGTAGCACTCCACTGGCCACAAATCTTGAATACCCACTGTCAAATTCAAGCATTTAAAATAAATGTTGCAAAGCTAAAGCACTCCTCAGGAGGAGAATGGCAGTTGTAAGAGCGCAAGCGGTCACTTTGGACTGTACAGGAGCTGGGCATTTCTGTGATAAAACACAGGTTTAAATGCAGAGTAATTTTCTTTACAGGTCATTGCAATTTTTAGAATGATTTTTGTTTTATTCTTATAACTTCTTCCATTGTTGTGTTTTTAATCCCTTGGGAAATGGAACTATTTTCTGTTTTGTTTTTAAGAAAAGGGGTATCTCTGCATGAGAAAACTACCTGAAACAGTAACTGCCATTTTTTTTTTAAAAGAAGGATTCATGATGGAGTTATATTTTCTAAGAACAAAAAAAACCTCATTATTTTGAAATTTTTGGTAGTTTAAAAAATCAACAACCCACTTTATTATTGCTGTTACACCAATGTAATTAAGTTGAGAATTGGAACATTCTATATAAAATGCAGAAAGAACACCTCACAATGGTGTACTTTTCAAGAGTACTCACAATTTTTTTTTGCTTGCTATATCCTCACAAACACTGTGTATCTAATAGATTCCGGGTCTGCAAGAAATTTAGAAGTTAAATATAAGCATGAAATTGTATTTACTACAGTTAGTCTCCTTATGCTCCAAATTAAATCTAAATTAAGTCTGAATGTAAGAGGCTACAAGGACTTTTTCCATCTTCAGTAATGCTGTGGTCACCACATGGGGGCATAAATGCTGGTTAACGGAATAGGATCCCATTCTCCAATGACAGTGATAGGATTTCTGTGTTAAAATTCCCAGTAGTCAGGTGATCTGAAGTTAAAATTAAAATTTAATTGTTGATTGGATCTGCAACTGCATTTCTAGGTACTGGGAATTCTTAAATTGCAGCTATATGTCAATATATGTTGAGTCTTTTATAGCATTTCTTCCCTCTCTGCAATACAACACGTTAAATATTAATTCAATTAATCAAGTACCATGCCTAGCAAAGCAATAATAGCCCTGAGCAATTATAGGAGGATTTTCCATGTAATTAAGATGTAATTGAAGTATATGGCTTTAGATTCCAAATTAAACACTTTTTCCATTAGCATAGAGCTATCATTTATTTAGTGATACTAGAAGAGAATGTGGCTAAGTCCTACTCTCTTATAATGTTTTTATTATCATTACTACTTTCAGAAATTGAGCATCTTAAATTGTGCTCAGAACTTTTAGAAGTACTTTTATAAGTATCAGCATAAATGTTGGCAACTGTTCAACTGTGTATCAACTCTTGCAGTGCTGTTCATGCAAGCCTAATAGTAATTTCCTCAAACTTTCAAGTTAAAAGGCATGATAATACAACAGAGATGTAGAAATTTAGAGAGATGGGAGGTTAGTACAACTGTGTTGTAGCAGTACTGCCAGCCTCTGGTGATGAGTGTGTCCCAAGAACCCAAAGCACATCTCATGTTCAGGAAACATGAATCAAGATTAATTCCCTTGAGTTCCTCCCTTCAAAACAAAACTTGTAAGCAGAAATAGGTTGGGAATATTTTTCATCAATTCATTCTGTTTAGATGAGCCCACAGAGAACATCTGGTTCAGGTTTTTGCATTTTCTCTAAAACTTCAAAAGCTTCAGTTGTGATTGGCTTACAGCATTGTAGAATCATGAAATCATAGAATCATAGAATGGCCTGGGTTGAAAAGGACCACAGTGATCATCAAGTTTCAACCACCCTGCTGTGTGCAGGGTCGCCAACCACCAGACCAGGCTGCCCAGAGCCACATCCAGCCTGGAAATGATTTGGGTTGGAAGGGACCTTAAAGCCCACCCAGCCCGACCTGCCATAGGCAGGGCTGCCACCCAGCAGCTCAGGCTGCCCAGGGCCCCATCCAGCCTGGCCCTGAATGTCTCCAGTGTTGGGGCATCTACAGCTCTCTGGGCAACTGTGCCAGGGCCTCACTGCCCTCTGAATACAGCATTTCTTCCTAACATCTAACTTAAATGCCCCCTTTTTTAGTTCAGAGCCATTCCCCCTTGTCCTATCATTATTAATCTGTGCATAAAGTCTCCATCCTGCTCATAAGATCCCTTCAAGAGCTGGAAGGCTGCAATGATCTCTCCCCAGAGCCATCTCTTCTATAAGCTAAACAAGCCCAGTGAAGTTGGTGTTGTTATGCAGTTATGTCTTTTCACGCTGTATGTTGTGCAGAGGCACAGAGGCAGAGGAGCTGAATGTGTCCTCCCTCATCCCAGCTGCCACAGGTGCCAGCTCAGCTCCTGGCCCGCTTTGTGGAAATGCTGCCACAAAAAGCTGTTGGTGGTGCAACCAGCAAGGATACTAAGGTGATTTTCTGATTTAAATAACGCCAGAAAGCAAAATGAGCACAATCGAATACATTGAAAAAATGGCAGTATCTTCCTAGAGCATCCCACCGTTAAGATCTGGATGGGGAGACCAGCAGCAGAGCCCCGGATCTTGTATTCAGAGATGGTTTTGGATAATGGAGTCGCACCCTTAATCAGGGAAGCATTGCTGCCATCTAGTGACCACCTCAAGTATTGCAGCATCACCTAAATGAACTGCCTTCCCGGCCACGTGCTTCATTGCTGGGTGCTGCCGTCCTCTGTTACGTAGGCACAGGGGCACAGGGTTCGTCAGAAGAGCAAAGCAATGAACTGTATTCACTTCTCTTTACAGTAAGTTACCTGATTGCAGGAAAGCACAGAAGGGCTCTCTGTTTCTCCTTTTCAGCAGGCCTGGCAGTGTGGCAGTGCAGTTAGAGCTTTTAAATCTTTAACAGCATGCAATAAATTTCTGTTTGAACCTGACAAGCCATTGCCTAGCTCAATCCATGTGGCAATATTTAATGCTAAAGTCTTTTTATTCTAGCTATGTTTTCTTTGAAAATATTTTCAAATCAACACATTAGTGTTAGACTGAGACAGAAATAGAAGACAGTGAACACTGTAACCCAGAAAAGAAGATGAAATTTGCTGTAAGAATCTGCTCTAAACCTAAGACCAATGAAATTGATTATTAAACAAATCAACAGTTTGAGATAGCAAGTTGTAATATCTTATTGGCTTGCTTGCTTGATTTGATCATGATGTATGTGTCTGTTTGTAGCCATAATAGCTATGTCAGCACCAGTTTCATGGAGCAAAACCAAGTAGCTTTAGTATTAACAAGGAGAATAAATTGTAAAGTAATATGAAATGAATTGTATAATACCTTTTAGGACCAATTCAATAATGGTTTTGATTTTGGTGTCTAACAACAAACAGAAAGCAGAGCTGCCTGTGAGAGAAATGTAATTTAAATTCCAATTGAAAAATAATTGGTTGCTTTTGCAGGTAAATAGTTGCATGGGAAGGAACTGAGTCAGCAAGACCTTCTTGTCTGTATTGGCAGTAACTCTGATGCTTGCAGCTTCCATAAATGAGATACTGTAAAGTTCAGAAAACATAATTGAATAACCCCCGGTATGCAACATCTGATCCATAAACAAAAGCTCAGATGTTACACAGACATTGTGCAGTGGATTTTGTCCAGTGTCACTGGTGGCAAGATTGAGTACCGCATAGGATTTCTGCACTAAAATGGCAGGTGGCTGTTCTCCTTTCTTGTACTTACCACTGTAGCAGCTAATATTTTTTCTGCAGCTTTTTTTTATTATTATTATTTGGTTTGTTTCTTTTAGTATAAAATAAATGAGATAAAGTCTTCCTAGGATATGGAATATCCTAGGATATGAGGTGTGTTCACAGATTTGTTGAGGGCAACCTTTAGGAAGCTGAATTTGGGCACACTTCTGTTCTGTAAGGATAAGGAAGGGCATGGAAACAACATCACCACTTCTGACGTGTTCACCTCGACTCTCCCCCCCTACTCTCCCCCCTCCCCCCCAAACTCAACCTGCATTGCTGGATTCTGATGGACAGAGGTGCTAAGCATGGTGTGCCACATCTCTGCCGGCATTTCACACTGTCAGGAGACCAGGTGTTGGAGCTCTCTGCTCCTTCCTTGCCTTCTTCTCAGGCACCATTCTTTGCACAGCAGTAGCAAAGTTCTCTGCCAGCAGCTAGTGCTGAGACTACAGGCACAGGCTGAGCAACCAGATTCACTTATCCCACTCCTTGGCACTGGATGGTCTCCTGCCAGCACTGCTGTTAGCCCCTCTCCTGCTGCTTTACGTACTTCACCACAGAGTGCTCACATATTTTTCCCATCTTCATCTTTTACTTGTGCTCTCCATTTCTCTGTGTGCTGCTCAGGCACTGCATTTTGGTGTGGAGTAAAGTTCTCTAATTTCTCTGATGCGTCTTTGTAATTCCCACCCACTTAAAGCCAAGTGCTTCAGAGTCATAGAATCATAGAATGCTTCAAAGGGACCTTGAAGATCGTCTAGCTTCAGCCCCATTGCTGTGGGCAGCGTTAGATCTGGCACTACATCAGGCTGCCCAGGGTCCCATCCAACCTGGCTTGAATGTCTCTAGGGATGGGGCATCTGCAGCTCCTCTGGGCAGCCTGTGCCAGTGCCTAATCACCCTTTGAGTGGAAAATTTCCCCCCAACACCTAATCTAAATCTCCTATCTTTTAGTTTAAAACCTTTCCCCCTTGTTCTGTCAATAGCAGACCATGTAAAAAGTCAGTCTCCCTCCTGATTAGAAGTTCTTTTTTAAGTACTGGAAGGCCACAGTGAGGTCTCCCTGGAGCTTTCTCTTCTCCAGACCGAATGAGCCCAGCTCCCTTAGCC